GTACCATGGCTGTAGCTTACCAAACTCTACAAGGTAAAGATATTTCTTGATTATATTGAACTTGCAGTAACAAGTGGTTATGTGGGTCTGCAAATAGGAAACAATACTATTTTGGGAAGATCCTGCTAAAAACTGTATTATTTTCAGTAACATATGCATCAAACATTCATATTAATATGTCTACTGAGGTTGTCACTTATGTTATAATTTTATTGCATATATTATGGATTATTATATTCCTTACGTTAGAAAAGCCAGACTGTGTTTTCAGCATTGTGACACCAGTAAATTTGAATTAAAGAGTGACAAAAGGTTGATGTTAAGTGACTAAGTATGTTCCGAGACTACCTGATGAGTGGATCTAGCTCATATACCCTTATGCTGGTTGGACATAACAGGGTATAACAGTGTGAGATATCTCTGTCCTCCTGGATTTCCAGTCTCATAGCTGTAGCATGTTTTCTTCTGGCCAATACAATGAGTTTTGAGTGTTACAAAGGCTTTTATGATGTTAGTAATAGATATAATGCAAATTTTTTTTTAAAAAAATATGCTTACATTGTTGCGGATTAGAAGAGTAATTGGAGAGTAGGTGTTCAATTGCCTAATTGCCAGTAAGCTGTATGCCATGTACAGACAAAACTCCATCATTGGGATCTCCAAAATGTGCAGTTCAATAATAATAGTCTGTAGGAGAGAGTTTGTGTTTTTGAGAGTTTTTGTTTTTCATTAAAAGGGACAAGAGCTATATATCCTGTCCTTGTAAGATCAGATTTCCAACACTAGGGATCAAGCTGATATTGTCATTACCATCGAGGAAAGGCAAAACTAAATTCACCAACCGATGAAAAAAAAGGGTGAACAAAGACTATTTTTCTATCGTTAAGGATGACAGTTATTTGCATATGGAATATATTATAAACTTCTGTTTTATTGTCAAACAAAACTGTTAATACTCACAGAGAGCTGTCTGCAACATCATTTCACATAGGGGATTTACTGCCTTGAATGTTTGGTTAAAATCCCAAAGCATGGAATAGAATTTGCTGTGAAGATGTCCTGCTTTTGTCTGGAATAAAGTTAGTTTTCTTCCCAGTAGCTGGTTCAGTGCTGCATTTTGGATTTAGGGTGAGAATAATGTTGATAACACATTGATGTTTTAGTTGTTGCTGATCAGTGTTTATACTAGGTCAAAGACTTTTCAGTTTTCACACTGCCCTGCCGGCAGAGGCTGGAGGTGCGCAAGCTGCTGGGAGGGGGCACAACCAGGACGGCTGACCCAGACCAGCCAAAGAGATATTCCATGCGGTATGATGGTCTTTTTTCTGGCAGAAGAGAACCTAGGGTTGTTGGTCAACAACTGCCTGAACATGAGCCAGCAGTGTTCCCAGGTGTCTAAGAAGGCCAACAGCATCCTGACTTGTATTAGAAATAGTGTGGCCAGCAGGACCAGGGAAGTGATTGTCCCCCTGTGCTCAGCACTGGTGAGGCCACATCTTGAATCCTACGTTCAGTTTTGAGCCTCTCATGGCAAGAAAGACATTGAAGTGCTGGAGTACAAACACGGACAATGAAACTACTGAAGGATCAGGAGAAAAGTCTTGCGAAGAGTGGCTGAGGGAACTGGGGTTGTATAGCCTGGAGAAAACGAGTGGAGACCGTATTACTCTCTACAGTGACCTGAAAGGAGGTAGTAGAGAGGTGAGGGTCAGTCTCTTCTCCCAAGCAGCAGGGACAGGACAAGAGGAAATGGCCTCAGGTTGCACCAGGAGAGGTTTAGATTGGGTATTAGAAAGAAACTTCTTCACAGAAAGGGTTGTCAAGAACTGGAACAGGCTGCCCAGGGAAGTGGTAGAGTCACCATCCCTGGAGGTCTTTAAGAAGTGTAGATGTCGTGCTTAGGGATATGTGGTGGACCTAGCATTGCTAGGTTAACAGTTAGACTTAAAGGTCTTCTACAACCAAAATGAATTTATGATTCTCCAGTGTCATGCTGGTGTACAAACTGGGAGGAGTTGTCCGGGTGACACCACAATTTGGGGATTGGCTGAGTGTTGGTCAGCAGGTCATGAGCAATTGTATTGTGCATTACTGTTTTGATATATTCTATTTTTATTATATTTTCCCTTCCTTTTCTTTTCTAGTAAACTGTCTTTACCTCAACTCACAACTTTCACTTTTTTTCTCCCCAATTCTCTCCCCATCCCACTGGGTATGGGGAGGAGTGAGCAAGTGGCTCTGTGCTGCTTAATTGCTGGCTGGGGTTAAACCATGACAGTAAATCTTTACTTTTTTTTTTTTGCATCATCAATAAATGCCTACATCGTTTAGATTAAAAGTTATCTAGGAGTCCTTACATTGTCTTTCCTGCCACTGCTCTTACCAAGTAACAACATCCAGATAGTAAATCTCTAAAAAATAAAATTTTCTTAGGTGATTGTGTGGTAAGTTTGGTTAAATGTAAAGAAAATTTGATCAGTTATAAATTCCCTCCTCACTTGCTTGAGTAGCCCTAAGAGGCTAATAAACTCTGAGCTACTGAATGAATTCAACTAATAAATCTGTATGAGACTATTTGTTTCAGGCCTTTCCTTCCTCTTATGAATAGCATTTCCATAGTCTATTGACATGCTGTAAGGTGTTCTCCTCAGCAGCAGCTTGATGAAGACGGATTACCCTTCAGGTGCCTTAGAAAAAATAGTATAATAGTGAAGAGGTTAAAAATCCAGGAAAATAATGAATTTTAATATATGAAAGTTTGGGAAATCAAATATCTGTTCCTATTTTTGTTTCTTGCTTGAAAACAACCATCGTGATCCTGATCACCTTTTATGTCATTCATGATTTATTTGTTGGCAGTCGTTGTCAGTCAGTGAAGTGATGAGAAGAATTATATTGTGCAATCACTGCGCTCACATTTACCCAGTGCTGTGCAGGAAACTGCTGCCTTTCCCAGCTTATCTGCGCTTTCCTAGTATATCAAATATACGGTTATGAGAAGTTGCAGTTTCACCTTAGAGCTGCCAAATAGTACAGTAAAGTTAGTAAGGCCAGCAGGCAAAGTGATGGCCTCTAGCTTGTGGTGAAAGGACAGTCTGAGAACTTCAGAGTGGGCAGAGGGACTGCATTGTAATGGCACTATGCTGGTGGGTCTCCCAAGTGCCTATGAAAATCCTGGCTAAAAGCTTACAGGGAGGACTTTTTAAAAAATAAAGTAAAACAACTGATTTTTCAGACACTGAAGAAAGACTTCCAAAAGTGATGTAGACAGTTTTCATATATATTTAATGCATGCTGTTTTGGTTTAACTTTTTATGTGGAGACTGTCAATCTTGATTATTTTTCTTTTGTTGAGGATTATATGAAATTGAAATATTATTTATTATTTTTTTTATATTACCATAAATAAGTGCATGTAGGCAACTCTTAGCTCCTGAAAGCTGTCACACATCTAAATGAATCAAAACATCATATCCTTCAGTAACTGAAAATATTTTTCATCTTCCTATTAAACTGTTTAACAATCATGGAGAAAATTAAGTGGAGCTATGTATCATATCTATTAATGCTAATTATATTCTGACAGGTGTTTTTTCAATCATTAGCTCTCTAGTAGACAGATGTAAGTCCCAAGACTGTAGCCTTTGCCTGTGTTGTTTACAGCTTGTGAAAAAATGCTCGCCAACTAATTTTCAAAGAAAAACCTATACTTCTAGCTAATATGTGTTTTGCAGGAACACTTTTTTTTTTTTGTAGCAGATCACATATCCAGAAATATTTTTGTTTTGAGAGTCTTGTTTTCCAAAATATTATTAGCCCATGTTAATCTAGTCATCTAAAAGGCTTAGATGACTAATTTTGGATAAGGCATCTACTGTTTTCTAATGGGAACTAATGAGCAAAAACTTTGCTTTTAGCAAAAACTAGTCTTTAGCAACAGTGACAAACCATACTGTCTCAGACAAAGTTTGCGAAAGGGATCTGGACTTGATTCATAGCTTTATGAGTAAACATTATAGCAGGGCTTCATTGTCGTTTGTACTGAGTGTTTGCCACCCTTTTAGAGTCACAGGGAACACAATCCAATAACAATGCTCATAAGGTAAGAGCACATAATTATATGTTAAATATTTGAATAAGAACAAATTGATTATTAAAGTTTTATTTTTCCATTCTCATTTCTTGAGAAATATCCCCTCTGTTATTACTGAAAATAAAAATAATCGGAGTAGGGGCCAAAACATATTGGCCAAGCAAAGACAGGAAGGCTGAGCTTCTGAAGAGCAGCAAGTAATACTTATATTGCGGATGCTTGTGCTATTCCTGTAACAGGCCTGATCCTGCACTAAGAAGATCAAAGGATGTTTTTGACTTCACTTCACTGAAGAAAGTTTTATGTGGGGAAATAGAGCTAGTTCTACAGTTCTGGTAGTCTGGTCCAAATCCCATAAAAAACTGAATAAATGGACACATTTAGGCTTGACTGAATATTTGGGGTTTTGTTTTTTTTTTTTCTTTTAAGCAAGCCATGTCTGGTGATAAAGAACTAAAATAAAAGACCTTGAAAGTGATAAAAACCTGTTCTTAGTGAAGACGCTGTTAGGAGAGGAAAGTAAACCATTCTTATGTAGTTTTTATTGATCTTGTGCATTTTCTGCTGTCATAAACTTCAAAATGTATTGAACACATTGATTAATTTGATATATGATCTTCCTTAAAAGCCAAAGCTGTAAATAATCATATCCATTAAAATAAGAATTAAGTAGATGAATGAATAACAGCAATGCCTGGTTTTTATGAGCTACGTCTAGCTACTTAATGTACTTTCAGACTGGGAAAGGAAAATAAGTTTTAACTCACCCGTTGCACTATTGCCATGTGTTTTTCTTCTTATTGACCCTGTTTGTGTTCAGAGATTCCTTTACTGAGAAAGAAATGCAATTGTGAAGCACAAAAGGCAACTGAACAACTTTACTAACTTGTTGTCTTTACTGTTTCAGAGCTGCAAGAAACTAAGACCTCCGAATATCACAGACTATCCCACAGTCCCCTGGATTACAGGATATTGTTAATGGATGAAGATCAGGATCGTATCTACGTGGGCAGCAAAGATCATATTCTGTCTTTGAATATTAATAATATAAGCCAGGACCCTCTCAGTGTAAGTTCAGGATTTATTTTGAGAATCCAAGTTTTATTTACCTCATGACTTTTATTTTAAGAGAAAAAATATGTATTTCATTATTTTGCAGCAGGCGAAAGTCCAGGCCCACACCGTATTGAGTTTTTAGTCATTGTTTTATGTGTAATGCAAGATGAACAAGCTATTAACATGACTGTTCCTGAAACACTGTTTGAAAACTGTCCTGTTCACTCATTTTGAGGTGATATTCAGCATGACTTGGTCTCATAAGGAAAATTTCTATGAGTTGATGGTTTCTGCTTCTCTCCAAGATTTAAGATAATTCAGAAATACACTTTTAAAAACAGCCTGTAAAGAAGAATAAGATACATGCTGTTGTTTTCAGGCCACAGGGGAAAAAAACCAACAGGAACGGAGTTGCCTTTAACCTTGACTATATTTAATTTTGTTTTGTACTCTGAAGCCTAATCAAAAAACTATTTTCCAGTCTTTTGTTGTTATGTCTGTGTAAGCTCTTGGCCTTCAGTTGAGTAGCTGAGATACCTCCTCTTTGGGGTTTCTTGGACACTACAACCCACATCTTCCTCCTGATACCACCTCTTTTCTGGCTTCTCACTTAGTGAGATGTCATTTTCTAAGGACTCTCTGTGTCACACCTGCCCAGACTGCAGTAGGCAGACTGTATTTGAAAATAATAAAATTCTCAGATGTTTAAACCACTTTTGCAGGTTCCTCTCATGTTTCCAGAGACAGTTCAAATCCAGCTGCACTGCTTTTAACATAGGTGTTCTGCAGAAGTACTTGCGTGCCCAGAAGCCTGACTGTTAAGATATTACCTCTCTGCAGACTTTGCCTTGTCTATTTTAGATTACCCCAGCTAGGGTACTTTAAAGCATGCCGTAAAGGCCTTGTTCTAACAAGTTCATTTGATCCTTTAATCTATGGGCTTTATTATTGTACCTCAGGAGTATTGAGGGCCTGAGATATCCAGCTTATAGCGGAGAAGTTAAATGCCTTCCTTAAGAGGCAAGGCTTTTAATGTGTCAGGAGAGAGAGAGGCCCTGCTGGAGGGTGATTAAACACCCTTAAATTAGGCTTTGCTCTGAATCACCCTCTGGACATGCCTGTCTGCCTGAATGGATTGTGCAGGGAGCCGGGGGAGGCTAACTCTAACTTACACTCTGAAATTAAATGCCTCTCGTGTGACGTGAGCGCATCCTTCCTCCTCCGAATGGCACAAAAACCTTCCTCTGAAATGAGGCCACCTTCTCAGATCCAAAATAGCTTGTATCATCACCTTTTTGCTAATTCGCATCTCACCGGCGATCCAGCCACCCTTGTCTCAGAGCTGCTGTGCTCCCGCCGTCCCTTAGCAGGTCGGTGTGAATTCTCCACAGCGTTTGGTTAGATCAGAACGCTTCTGTTGCATGAAGTATTTCCTGCAGCGTGAAGCTATGGGGCATCTCAGCAGCACTTTTAGGCCTGGACAAAAAACAAGAATTAAAAACATCACCAGAAAGTAAAACCGCACAAAATTTTCTGGCAGTGAATGTGATCACCCAGTATTAGGCTCGGAATTAATCTCTGCAATTCCACACAGTCTTTCATTTGTTTTTTGTTGTCTGTTTTTTTTAATAACAGATTCACTTTGCTCATCTTATGCTTCTATAGAAAGCCCATATGCATATGCATACATACCTACGACTCTCTACATATACATGTATGTATATATACACAGAGACCTTTTAATGCTATTATTATTTTTTTTTGAGGCTAAATGTTATCAGACTCTGTCACCTACTACATTTCTAGAGGGAGATTTCTAAGGGATGTCTTTTTTATTTCAAAATCCAAATAAATAATAGAAGAAGTTTAAAATCTTTAGAGCTTGAGTATGGATCAGAGAAACATTCAGCTGTTGAGGTGTTGGTCAGAAAACTGTCAGAAAGAAATCAGCCTGAAGTCTTAAAACTTGAAGCAGGTTTTATCAAAATCTAGCCAAACTTTTGCTGTTAAAACTGAAAAATTATTATAAGAACCCTTCTCAAGATATTTTAGTCTTCTGGTTTCTAGTGTGAAGAAATTCTGAAAGTTCAGTAAAAATATGAAAGTAAAAAGATGGAGAATAATTTAGCCAATAACAATGAAAAATCTCTTATTTAGAAGAAAGAAGTCCAAATAAATTGATTAACTTATCTTAAAAATGTGTAATAAACTTAGTTTATATAAGCCAAAGACCTTGGCCTTTATTTTGTTTACTGCATACTAAGACAGAAAGTTGTTTTCATTTATCAATGGTGTCAAAACATTAACTCATTAATGTAAGCTAGGTAGTGAAATGCTTTGCTTAAATTATATAATAAATATGTTACTTAAAAGATATTTCTTTCTTTGCAGATTTTCTGGCCAGCATCAGCAAACAAGGTTGAAGAGTGCAAAATGGCTGGCAAGGATCCTACGGTAAGTTATAAACCACATGCACACACATACACAAATTACGTACATGGCAATAAAGTAAGAGCACCTTGAGTGCAGCCAGAACAAAATGAAAGAAGTGTTTGTTTTGCTTTTTAAGTGCTCTTCAGGCTGAAGGATAAAGTGAAATTATGAAAAATAGGCTATGTAAACGGAATGCACCTTCAGACTTTGGCAGACGGAGAAAGATACGCATTGTCCACTTCCTCACCATTTTTTATTGCTACTAGTCAAACTAGGTAATAGTACTTTTCCAGATACATCCTGGTGTTGCTGAGCTGAGCTGGTGTTCAGGGTGGGGCATCTGCCCCAGGAGAAAACTCTACATGTGGGTAGTGCCCAGTGTCTGCAGCCTGAAGACCCCAAACACCTCTTTACATTACTCCCATTAAAAAATGCCCAAATTAAGTGTCTAGAAAACAATATGTAAAGCTGATTTCTGGAATCAGGGAAGAGGTTATGTTGAGTTGTTTTGCACCACAGTTGATTATTCTCCCATCTAAATGCAGACACCTTCCAAAGGACCTAAATCTGATGATAATTTCCCTGTACACTCTTTATAGACAACACGTAGAACTATTTTGAAAGACCCGGTGAATGGTACCATATAGCAGATCCTGACTTTGCCAGAGTTGTATATTAACATGGTTATAATCCTAAAGTAATTTGAACTTACAGTCTATATAGGGCTGGGATTTATTGACAGACAACAACTAAATTGTAAAAAAACCCAAACATGTCTATATATCTTTACATTGTTCTGGTTACTGCAGTGTCCAGTAAATCCTACAGCTAGTGGCTTGTTAAGCTGCACTAAATGTAAAAATAAAGCATAGAGCCTTACTAATGGTGATTAATGTTGACCTAAGTTACTGACTATGTTAACTACATCATCAACCTGTGATAGACTGGTTAAGGAATTTTCTTTTCTTTGAAGTACAAAAGTTTATTAGTCTTAGCCATGTTTCCAACATATGATAACACTCTTTTAGGACAAAGATAGGAATAATGTAGATGATACTCTAAACAGAAAGCAGTATGCAAAGTATGTCATCCATGAGGAAAAAAAGTAGGACATTTGCTAAGTACCGGACTGTCCAGAGAACTTCTAATCTTGATATTTAGTGGTGAGACTTCCCTGGCTTTTAATCGCATGGAAGTACCCAAATGTTGCTGCTTTAGCGGACAGATTTCTGAATAGAAGGTCTGTTTTTTACGACAGTTTAATTGTGGGTACAGCTAATATCCTGTAAAATAGTCAGTTTAGAATGTCCATGGGCATCAACTTTTAAAGAATTTTTTAAATCCTAGCTGTGCACTGCAGAAGATAAATTGAGATCCAAAAATAGAAGTTTACATTAAGTTTCTTAGCATTTGTCTTTAACAGTTTAAAAGAAAAAAGAAAAGATACTGAAGAGCAGCTGCTGCTCCCACTAAAATCAATGATTTGTCTTACTGAAAGCTCACTGAAATAATGAGAAAAAAGACAACATAATACTAAATCACTGTTTGCAACTTGAAATTTATAGTTCAATTTTAATAACATTCTTGTGAGTTTCATTCCTGATAATAATGGAAAAAGCAGAGAATGAATTAAGAAGAATTGAGTTTCAAATAAAGAAAAAAAAAAGGGATGGAGGGAGAGAGTGAATTCATGGTGATGTTTGGCCTGTCAGAGAACAGTGATTATCACAAGGTCAAAGACTTGGAGCAGCCAGTAAAGGACTTTATGCAATCAGCAAATTCTTTTCCAAGGAGATTTGCTCTACCATTAGATAAACAGAGGTGTCTGAAATTGTCGTCTTTAGCTACCTTTTTTGTCACCTTTGAATAGTATGTTCACCAGACTAACTTGAATACTTTCATTAGTATGACATCTATTTCCCTCAGTTTACTGTGATGAAATCCTAGGGCATAGATGTCTGACTTTCAGATGTCTACAAGTAAGGCAGCTCTCCAGACACTGCTACTGAGTGAATTTTGGTAGCAGTTCCGAGAGTAGCCAGATCAATCATGTGGCAAATTAAAAATTGAGTTCAGTTGTTCAACACTAGAGAGATGAGTAAAGACTCAGAAATGATAAAATGGTCTTTCTGCTGGACAGCATTAAAATATGAGGCTCTTGGTATTGAGCAAGCTTGTGTTAATTTTCTGTGCATCATTAGTGAAAGAGACATGAAGACACGGTATGTATTCGATGGTTACCCCAGAAGGCTGTCCTTTAAAAAAAGAGCTGTTCATCTAATCACCCCTGTGCTTTGGCCATAGACACTTTGGAAAGAGCATGGCATGGTACTGGAGCAGAGTAGCAAGCGCCACATACCAGTACTGCTCATCTAGACATTGTCTCCTGGTCCTGATCCTTGAAGACTTTCATTCTGAGATTTCTCAGCACGTAATCCTTTATCTAGGAGTCTTCTAGAAAAGTTTTCTGCAAACAGCAAGAAAAGAAAGCATCAGTTTCCACTCTGGCATATATAAGCTAGCGGTATACCATTACCTGTCCTTCCTTCCATTCCACAGTGTACTGCTGAGGAAAACATGATTTTGTCAGCAAGGTATTACTAAAGCCATCTTTGAGCCAAGCTAAGATAGCTGGATATGAGAAAATGGAAACATTTAGGAACAGCGCTCAGCTTTAGGGAAACAATATATTTTTAGTGAGTTAAAGGATTTTTCTGATATATCTAGAACTAACACTTAACTGAAGACATACAGTGTTCTTTGTAGAGAATCTCCTTGTGCGAACTCTGAACTACCTGCAGTTATGCACCAGTTTTCAGATGCTGTAGTACAGTACCGTGAACAAAAAATGTGAATGCCTTTAAATATAAATAATCTGTGCAATCCGCTAGATGAGGATTAATTCTACTGCTTTTCACAAAGATGACTGATGACACAGTTTCCAATGCTATGCTCACAGAACACATGCAATTCTCACTGTCTTCAGGAAGGTTAGGATGGTTGAATTTGAAGGCAGTGCTAGGATCTCAGTAAAAAAAAAAATTCAAGAAAAAAAATATTTTCAACCTAAAATGCGTTAACAGTTGATCATAGTAAAAAAAAAAAAAGAGCAAGAGAAGAAAGGGATATACTCGAAAAAGAAAACTGTAAATCTGATGGTGTGAAACTGTGTGACCCTTAACATTCTGTTTTAATTTTCATGCTGATTTGAAGATGTTACTGTTACTCTTCAGTGTGAAGCAAAATTCACTGCAAAGTTCCTTTGTGTTGTTCACAGTTTTAAAGTTTTGGAAAGAAATTGTTTATACAAATAATGGGATCTGAGATCTGGGCTTGCTTTGCATTTGAATTCTCTCAGCTATGATGAAAAAATGACGGGGAAAAAAGGTCTGTTTTCGAGGTGTCCTTAAAGAAACTTCGTAAGGTTGCTTCTTGTTTTCCTGCAGAGGCCCTGCTTCTTCCTATGCAAGGTACAGAGAAGTCTGTGGATGAAAATTAGATTTCTGTGTGGAAATGGGAAAGTAACATGCACTCCTCTATATCTGCTCTATGGTGCCCTTCCAATGCCCAGTGCTCAGACTAGGCAGAATGGCAGGAAAAGAAAACACAGATCTGCAGCTGTTCAAATCTACAGCTGTTCAAATCACAGCTACCAAACTCATTAGCTATATTATTCATGATACTATTAAAATTAAAAACCTTGTCTGTTACCTAGAATTCCCAACATGTAGTAACATTTGCCAACGTGAAATTATTTTTCTCGGTGTTCCCTGCAGCATGGCTGTGGAAATTTTGTGCGTGTGATTCAGTCGTACAACCGCACACACCTGTACGTCTGCGGCAGCGGCGCCTTCAGCCCCGTGTGTGTGTATGTCAACAGAGGACGCAGGTCCGAGGTGAGGCTCCTTTCATTTCATCCACTTGTTCTGTGGTGCATCTTACTAGTGTTGTGCAAAACTCAAAATTTTGAAAATGCAAAAATCAATGTTCCAAATAGGTTCCTTCATCGATGTTGAATAGAAAGAAAAACAAACATCCATCGTTTTCTGACCTATTACCAGCTAGAAGCAAAGCCATGATCAAGAGCCATGCCTTGAATGTGATGATTGTGCAAAGCTCCATGTCTATCATACCAAATGCTGGGCTACATTTGATGCTAGTTTTTATTGGATGTCAGCTAGTGAATTCATTCCTACCATTTGTTGGAAGAATTGCCAAGAGACACTTGAAAGGAAAGAGCCAGTGAGATAGAAAGTAAAATATGCAGTCCAGTTTTTATAACTTCCATATGTTACTGATTCCTGGGAGAAGCCCTTAAGTAGGCTAACTGGATGTATGAAGATTTCTTGGACTTTGGCTTAATACCCACTAGATGCAATCCCAGTACAGGTAACTTTCATCTACGGCAGAAGTTCAGCCCCATTAGGTTCTGCCAGAAGCTGGTAAGTTTTCTCACCACTGTGAGATCTTGCAGGGTGGAAATCTTATTATTTCTAGATAGGTCTCTAGTTTTTCTATATTCACTTTCACTGAGTATTTTCAGTATTCAAAGTATCAGATGTTTGAGAAGTATATTCTCCAAGTTTCGTGATTTGAAAGTGAAATGCTTGTTCATGTGCAAATGTAATGGGTAATAAATTAAGCAACCAGAAAGAGAATGAAAAGCACTTAGTCAAGACCCAGCACTTCAGGAGCTTTTGAGTTGAATTCATGTCTGCAGGCGCAGGGATGTGCAATATATATTCCTGTACGATGTGGAAGCAGATGTGTTGGGAAGGAAGATCAGAGGGTGCCACCTGGAGTTTTGCCATGTGAGGGCAGCTTTAAAAGCTGGGTTGGCTCCTGGGGAAGACACTGGGAAATACATCACTGATTTCATTAGGAGTGGGATGGGAGTTCTGGCTGAAACCCAAGACTACTGCAGATGTTGCCAGAGAGGTGGTAAACCATTGTTTCTCCACATAGGTTTTCATGGGATCTCAGTGACTTTTGGTATATCCCTACCTGGCTCCGGCCTCCTTAACAGAGTATGTAGTCTGAATCACTGCACTTTCAGTCCGAATGAATTATGTAAAAGGAGAGGTTCATAGACCTGAATTTGAAAGCACAAGCAAGCAGAACTGACTAAGAAAATCCATCCCTCTGGTTAACGGAGTCTACATTAATTTATTTTGATGTATTTTGAAAGAGAGGTCACCTTTCATCAGCATTATCCTATTTTTTGCAAAATTATTTTAAAACATGAAAAATTATCTAATTTGTTTCTAATTAATACAGTATTTCTTCATCAGTTCAAGTAGTAGTAGTACTGGAGCCCTGTAGCCCAGAGAACTGAATCTCATTATTTTAGGGGTTTTGTAAATGAGGTGGGGGAGGGGAGTGAGCAGGGAGGGCGGGAAATGACATGTCCAGATGATGCAAGATGTTAAATTTCCTAAGTTAAAAATAAAGATACATTTCTTGGAAGAGCAGAACTGGCTTCACTTAGCCTGTCTGTATGGCTACATGGCTATGATCAATTGATTAAATAAACTGCTGTTTCAGACGTCTGGAGTCTGTCAGACACTTGACTGTAGGCATTGCATGCTCAAAGCCATTACTGTACAGGCCAACAATAGCATAACAGTTTAAAACCAAGCATTTCCCTCTGAACTCATTGCATATATCAGTGCGTGACTAATTAATAGCACAGAATGAAGAACTATGTAGTGCTGATGGGACTAGTGAGAACACATTTTTTTCTCTGCTTTTATCATTTCACCTTTAATGTAGTAGTTTTCCATGCACAGAAGGCTGGTTTTGCACATGCAAAATGGATATTTTAGAAAGCACATCTGTTTTTCTCCAGAAGCTACAACGCTTGACAGTCAGAGTCATATCATAAGAACTGGGCCTGTTTTGCTGTTTTGTCTCCAGGATTCCACATAATCTCACAAAATGGACACTTTCATTGATGAGGCAGAATGTTACCCTTTTCCCTGAAACAGAGGCTAAAATTAATTAATTTTCTTACTTGGCACACTTGATACTTTGGTCTTTGGTAATGATTCTCTTAATCACCCAGGTATATTCTAATGTCAAAGTAAATACAAACAGAAGGAAGTGTAATCGCTATGTGAATTAATTATAGGCTAAAAAGTAGTTTAATATATATGAAAATCAAACATAATCCTGGAGCTAGTGTAGTAGCACAGTAATGGGCATTTTGAATTGGTAAACAGTGGTTTGATATAGTAAATATGGATTAGCATCAAGTCTCATATTAAGCTAGAAGTAAAACAAAAAACCCCACACAAGATCATATTAGAAACTTCATACTTATGCTTTAAGATTGTTTAGAGAGCTTATTACTGAAACTAGAGAAAAGATGTCTGTAATTAAACTAGGCAAAACAGAACAGGGAGGAAAAGAGGTGGGAGATAATGGATACAAATACTTCCTGCTGTAGTGGAGCATTTCAGGTCCGTGGGGTCTCTGATTCACCGTCGCCAAGTGGCTGCTCAGTGATCTCTGTGTTCCCCTGTGATTTACGATAATTGTTAAAGGGAATATGAGCAGTTGAATAACTAATACATTGACATCTACCTTACAGAAGCCTTTCTTCGGAATTTTTGTCAGCTGCCTTTTTCTGTTGAAATGAAATGTTTTGCTTTTGGGTGGCTTTTTCTGTGCAATGTCTTTTGGCTTTTTATTAAAGGTTAGATGTTTGTGATAGGAGGCTAGTAACAAGTTGTTTGTTCAGTATACAATGGTATGCTCAGCATAGTGTGCTTTTCAGTATCATTGGGAACCAAGAAGTGGAGAGGTGTACCAAAATGGGCAGGTTTTCTTAAGATGTTCAGACTGTTTGTAGTCCAGGTTGTTTCTACTTTGCCAAATGTATTTTCTATTTATAAATTCCAAAAAATATAAACAAATCTCCATACTCAGATTGCTAAACAGCAAAAAAAGCCCCAAAACATCCAAGAGATTTCAGGCTATGGCAAAAGAAGCTCATAAATCTTCAGTCGATGTGGAATTATAGTTCTACATGTAATCCAAGAGATTATATTGAAGAAAGTAAATATGATTTAGAGGATCTGGGGATGTGTGATAGCTCAGTAAAGAGCATATGATTTAGACTATCACTAAATGACAGTTGTCATATGAGATTTTTTTTAATATGTATCATTGTTCTAGTACCTTTATTACTATATCCTAGACCAGTATAAGTATCACCATGTATTCAGCAAAGAAATGATAAATAACTTAAAAACCACAGAAGTAATCTTCACAGATGTTATTGCAGAGATTAGTCAACTTCTCCAAAGCATAAATGGGCTGGAGGGAAAAATTCTTTGTTTCAGTGTCTTGATTTTATAACAGGAGTCTTGAAAATAGCTGTGTATCTATGAAAAAGTTGTCTAAAAAGGTGATGAAATCCTGAGTAGGAAAGTTGGACTGTTGATAGTACAGCAAAAGTGCCCAGCAGTGCTGGGTATTGTTAATAGTGCAAACAACCAAGCATAAAAGTTGCTTTAGGTCTTATGGTTTCTAAAATGAGAAGTGACACACAAATCTACATTGCAGGAACAAATCTTCAAGATCGACTCCAAGTGTGAATCAGGAAAGGGACGCTGTTCTTTCAACCCTAATGTGAACACGGTGTCTGTTATGATCAGTAAGTAAGGATACTCCAAGTTTCTGAGGTCTAAACCTGTATGATCATGCATGGTGTGGATTGATGGGGTGCCTGACATGAACTGGACACAGAATTTAGCCTGCAGGGCGGAGTACCTTGTATCTAGCTGATGGGCAGGAAGGTTGGGTCCATCCTTGTTTGAAGGTTTCCATGAAGTTAAGCATGGATGTGCAAATGAAATGCAGAAATAATCTGTTGAAAGGGAGAGAAACGGAAAACAAAAGGTTGTCCCTTTTCCAGCTTACACATTTTTTCCCAGGGTTAGTTTCAACTTTGCATTACCCTGCCTAGCATTTTATGTTTGAACAGTTTCTGACCTTGTTCATCCTAGACAGCACTTGTGTCTCATTTAATTATTTGTAAAATGTCAGAGTAGCCAGGGAAAGAAAGCCTCAAGAATCTAGTTACTTTGAATTTCATTTTTTTTGTCATCTCTGCTGTAGAGCCCACCATCTAGCGCAAGGCTCTTCATTCTTCAGTTGGCTTTATACCCAAGCAATTTTACAATTTTCTTTCATTTGAAAGGCCAGAAAGTGTTACAACTGACACGCCTCAAATATTCTTGTGAATTGATGGTGACTGAACTTAATCACCATCCTCATACATACATTCCATACCTCATACAGAGGATTACTGCAGTGCCTATTGCACACCTAGCTGAAAACTCAGAGAGGGCATACACTTTGTGCAGCCTAAGTCATCAGTAAAAGAAACTCTTTTTCTTTTTTTATTTTTTTTTAACCACTTCTAGTGCCAAAGCCTTGATTTTTCAACACGTGCCTTCTCCTTGCTATATTTTTGGCTATGAAGGAAACAGCAATTGCACACATTTTTCAGGCTTTCTTAGCAAAAAAAAAATCAGTTCATGCAGGATCTGCATATTTCACTCAAGGTTTACAAGGGAGCAGTGTGTGGTGTTTCTGCCATTTAGCTTCCACTGAAATCAATGGCAATTACATTTTGTGCTAGATGTTTCCTTTAAAGTTTGAGTCTCGTGGACTTTAAGGAAAGTGTCATATAGTCTATCCTATATGGTCTGTTCAAAATATAAATTACTTGGATTATTTTTGATTCCTCATTGCAGATATATTTAGTATAGAGGACAAATAATTTCATTCAGAGGTAAGAACTGAAGCACCTTCAGAAGACAGGTAGATGCTACCTAGACACCTCTCTGAACCTTGGCTGCACTGAGATCTTGAGTGATCTATGGTCAGCATTTACAGTCCCTCACTGTGTAAAGAAAATGTTTGTTCAAAGTCAGTGACGGATTTATCCTCTGCTGTTCTGGTATTATTAAGTGAATCAACTGTCTTTAAAAAATAAAGTTTCCTTTCCTTGTTCCTTCTGGGTTTTATGAAACACCATTGAAGTCCATTGTTTCTGCATTACTGTATATACAGTAAGCTGATTTTTTTCTGCAGTAGATCTATGGCAGCTTTGTTCATCTTAGTAGACTTTACATTATCTTCCTTGATCTCTCAGTTTTGTGACTGGAGAGACCTTCTCTAGTGTTTGACTCATTTTTCATGACATAATTCATCTACAAGGATGAAATTATTCCACAAAGGTCACATTCTTTTTCAAAAGTCCCCCAGAGATTGGGTTTTATATTTTCTCTCTGCTACTACAAAGTCCGGTCACTTCAGAAACAGTAAGCTTGAATGAATTTAGCTTCAATATCTGTGCCAGAAGAGGGAAGATTTTGTAAGTCACAGCTTGAGTTACAGTGAAGGGACCAAGCGCATGTACTGGACTCTCCCTTGAGCGTTCTTCTGCAGGAGGAATTCCTTCAGCTTGCTTCAGAAGATGGAAAATACTGCCAGGCCAGATAACTCTTCCACAACAGAAGAATCATTTTTAAATATAGATGTAATTTCTTGACAGTTTTGGGCATCACCAGCCTAGAATACAGCAAGAAAGCTGATTCATCCTTCAGAGGAAAGTAATGCTATAAAACCATATTTGAACTTGGTACAATTTGCCATTGTACAAAGATACTTTTGCATCAAAGCATTGAAAAGTGTGCTTTGAAGACGCTTTGCATAACTGATATGCAGGTTGCATGTCTCTCACCCCACCAAGACTCCGAAATATTTATAAAAGCAGACATACCTCATCAGTTCAGTAATTCTCCCCAGTAACAGAGAAGTAGTGTGAACTAGTTGTGCGGGGCAGACCAAGTGCTGTGTGGAATTTAAGAATTTAACCAAAAGGAAACAGAGCTGACAGATATAATCTGATACATGATTAGCAAGCAGACACTAGGAATGCTTAAGACATAACTAATATGTCTTCTATTGCATGTAGAACTGATTAGAACTGAATAATAGAACTGAAATCACATAGTGTAGTACTATTGCTAAAGTGTCTGCATATGTGTCTATGCATAGGACTGCATATAACGTTTAGTGAGAACGATAAGCCTGATCTTTTTCAGCCAATTTATTTCATGATAAGCGTAACACTGATGGACTGTGGCAATGAGGCAAATAGACAAACTCAGTTATAAATCACTATAGATCTAACATCATTCTGTCAATACATGCTCAGGAAGTAAATGCTTCACAAACACACAGCAAATGCATTGTTTAAAATCCCCTGTGTCTGAATCTTGTCATCACTGGGAGAGATGAGAGCAGAGGAGTGGCTGCTGGCTGCTCTGCAGGCTCTAGCAAGCAGCAGAGTAACAAAATCTCCAGAGTTTTAAATCTCTCATGAGCCAATATTCTTCTATACGGATGCACAAACACACACACACGAGCAGCATAAAAATAGCCTCAAGTGCTTCTAAACCTGTGACTGTTGCCAGCTTGACCACACTCTCTGGGTAGTCCAAGACTTCAGACAAAAACATCAATCAAAGGACCCAGCTGTACTGGAATGTATTCAGCCACCACTCCCACTCTGAGAGCTAGAGTTTATTTTAGCTACTGTTTTCTGCTCTGGGGTTTCATTGTCATTAGTCAGTGGAAATTGCTTGGTTATTCACAGAGTAGAAAATGATAGCATATGTAATTAGAATTATAATTATATATACATATACTTATGCATGCACATAGACTAAGACAAACACAGATATACATCCTAACCAAAGGGCTGAGTTTTCAGCCCTACACAGGGAGCACAAGTTCATAGTTATGTTAATGTAAAAGTTGCGTGCCTAATTCCGTTCAAGCATAATGACCCTATATTTAGAATCAAGTACATAAAAGGGGACAATTGTTGCTCCGTATTATTCCACGTAAAGTTCAATAATATGATTGTCTGGCCTCTGCAATACTGAAATCAGCTTGAGACTGCCTGAGGCAGCCTTGACAATATAGTTGGTAAAAATTGGCACAGATCCATTGACTGCAATAGATGTTGTGCCAGTTTACAACAGCAATAAATTCATCCCAGTCATTTTATCTACTCACATAACAGAAAAAGCTTTTTGAAGTAGGTACTTAAAAAAATTGAATGTGATTCTTTTTGATAGCACTAGCCTGATTTTCCAGTGAACCTTAACGGTGAAAGTTGAGCAACAAAACTTCATCTCAAAGAAAGGTTCACCACATATGCAATTCCACTGTTGCATTAAATTATGCAGTTCCATTAAGTCTTTAAGAAAAAATTGATGTTTCTCATCCGTTCTAGATTGTGCCTTTGTAAATCAGAGGGAAACTCCATTCCCATGACCCAGTATTTATATGCTTAGACTCCTGTGCGAATAGAGAGCTGATGAGTTTAAAATATAAATAGATCAGTAAATACAGATTTCCCAAAAGCTGTAACAGTGCATGTCCTTTTTTCCTCCATTTCAATTCCTTGCAGATGAAGAGCTTTTTTCAGGAATGTATATTGATTTCATGGGGACAGATGCGGCCATTTTTCGGAGTCTGACCAGAAGGAACGCGGTGCGAACTGACCAGCACAACTCCAAGTGGCTGAGTGGTGAGATGCCTGTGTTTGACCACAGCTTTCAATGAGTTTCACAGAGATTCTGCTTTGTTTTGTTTAAAATAAAAATCTTGCCTTTTGAAGAGCTTTTCTCTGAATTTAATTTATGAAGTTGAACCATGAAGAAATGTGTATAATATATATTGCAGACAATGCACAGATATAAAGGGTTCACTGCATGAGCCAACCTCTTAGGTCACCCCACCTGATGGCTGTTTTTGAATTAAGACTGCACCAAACTGTGTATGAAAACCTTTCAAACTGAATGATCAAACAATCTGACTTGTAGAGAAGTGCCTTCTCCACCTCCAATGCATGAGGCATTGCCACAGAATGCTTGATTCTCAGATTTTTGTAATGAATTACCAACTTCAGTAAATTCAGGCTGATGCAGCTCTATACAGAAGACTCACCACCACTTCTATTCAAATTGTGTGCAGAAGAGAGTCCCATTGTCAGAGAAGTCAGTGACGATTGTTACCATTTATTTCCGTGGTAAGAAACTGATTATCAAAACAGTATGAAAAAGTAATTTCTGAGTGCAAACACTTAACTCTTGCCTTCACTGAAATCAACGTGAAAATTCTCCCTGACTTTACTGATAAGAAGACTCCTTCCAATTAAGCTATTTTTAATTAAAAGAGTGGTCAACCCTCAGAGCAGAGATAGATGTCAAAGGTTATAGAGCCACTAACATAGTAGTTCCAATTTAAAAATCCCTTCAGGTATGTTGAAGTAAAGTTACTGTGGTTTTGTTTTGACTATTTTTAGGATGACTCTTGTTATACCTGTGTGGCTGTGACTACAGTGAAATCACAGGATTGCAATTAGAATAAATTCAGTTCACTATGAACAGGAAACTGTCTTCTTTCTAAATTTTTCGTCTCTTTGCTGTACATTCTTTGACTTATCTACACACCCCGATGTGTGCACCCTAAAGCGAATAAGGGAAAAAGAACCATTAAAATGACTAATTTCTGGAAAATCTACCTGTTAAATATGGTTAGAACAGGTATTTGACAAGCACAATTTATTTCTGTGTTCTTTTAGAGCCAGTCATGACGCTTGTTATATTAAGAATGGGCTCATGAATAGAAAAGTGTTACAGTCTGAATGTCAGACATTCACTCTTTGAATTGGATTTTTTCCATTCGTGCTGGATTTCAACCGATCAAGCAATCTTTTGTAATCATTTAAAACACATAGCCCTCATGCAGGAAGAGAGTCTGTTTCTCCTTCAGACAGAGGAGAAGCTCTTCTGAGGACTTGCTTGCTGTTAAGGATATAAATGATTTTTGCTCTCTCAGTAGTGCTCCTTTGCAGTGTTTTGTATGTACACTTGGTCGTTTATCGAACTGTGATATGAGCTCAAGTACAGTTTAAGTATTTGCATACTGTGCTTTCTTTTTCTCTGTTGCACAAGTTATTTTCCTCCTATTTGTCTACCTTATTTGTTCTTTTCTTAATGAATTTTCAACAGCTTACTTTTATATTTTGCCTCAATGCCCCTGATAACACATTGATCCTTCCCTCTTCTTCCCCCAAGTCTTTGAATCTCTGCAGTAGTCTAATACTACTGCTTCTGCATTTGAATTGCTTTTCTGAAAATCTGCTGAGGGAAAAATGTAAGGACACAGCAACTGAAGGTTGCCAGCAAAGAGACATTTACCAGGTGATATCTAGTATATGCAGACATGAGGCTAGAGCATATAGCTTAACCTGCCACAGCAGCACCTCTCTTGAAGCAGTCAGTAATGTCAAATCATTAATTGCTTATACTGATATATCTTTTTGTTTCATCTTTTTGGTATACTGTTTCATTACAGAGCCTATTTTTGTGGATGCTCATGTTATCCCAGATGGCACTGACCCCAATGATGCCAAAATCTACTTCTTCTTCAAAGAGAGGCTCACAGACAACAGTGGCAGCACGAAGCAAATTCATTCAATGATTGCAAGAATATGCCCAGTAAGAACTGTTTTGTTTGCCAGGTTGTTGGGACAAGCTGTTAGGGTGACGTGACAAGCTAAAAGACTAAATGATGAAATAGCCTTTGATTTATATTCAAAACAAATTTCCTAGTTGGGCTTCCACATTCATAACTAAGAAGAGCTGTTACAGAACACATAGCTCAGGGCTGAACATGTAATGTGTATCTTGCTCTACCTCTAATGATACGGAAATATAGAGATTCAGGGATTTGTGAATTTCTCTGAGTCAGAATTTCAGTCAGTGTTGAATTTCCAAATTTGCTGTCCTTTGCACAAACGATATACATTCTTTCATTATAAAAGCTGAATTACAAGACAGCGAAGTCTTTCACACACATGCATGCACACATGTACACACACACACACATACTCAAAATCTTTGAAACACATTGGAAATACCAGAGCTAAGCTTTTTTAAGTGGGTTGATTTAAGTTCCAAGTATTGCTTTTACCATGTCTGGCCTTTCTGAGTTCTTGCATTGATGTATATCTGAGCCTAAATTTAAAAACATGCACAGGAATACTAAATTCAGGAGTTTTAACTACTCCTATGCAGTAATTAATTTACAATCACAGCATTCCTCATTGTCACTATTTCCTTTTCCGTATTTGTAATCAACTGTAGATGAAAAATAATTGAAGCAGCTATTAATATCCTTGGTGAAATTGATTGTTTTTAATGAGAGAAAAATTATAAATGCACAATTACTGTTATACTTTTCATTCCTTCTTCTGGAAAGGCTTGGGAAAATAATTGAGTTTCTATATTCCCTGCCTTTAGTCCGGGTCTTCTTTAGAATTTGATGTTTTGTGATGTTCTTGTGCGTGAGTGCGAGGGTGTGTTTGGGGTTGTGTTGAACTCCTCTGGCAATATGATGAGGCATGTGATCTCTTTTATAATCTTCATTTTCTGTATTGTCATGAGGGTGCCCGAAGGCTTTTTTGGGTATTTTGCAAGAAGACATTTCACACAATTATAGCCGTATTTGTTATTGTTATCGTTATTGTTATGTTATAATGAAGCCCAGATGATTTCTGAAGGACCTCAGCCTGTTTAGACTTATGCTGAAGTTGGTTGCAGAATCCCAAAGCCAAGGAAAATAAATCTGAGCCAGTCACATTTGCATACTCCTCTACCATCATGTTCATACATCAACACCTTTGAAACTGGCCAAATATATTAGTACAATAGTGCTAAGAAAGACGTCTCAGAAGACCCCTTTTGGGTCACCCCAAAAGTCAGATGATCAGCTCAGGGAGCACCAGTGAAACATGCAGAGCGTTTCATGGAAATCCCATTTGCTTAGCTTCTGCATTTCCTTTTTCCCTTTCCTTGGGTGGCATTGTTCTGTGCTGTCTGGGACACGCTGCTTTTATATAAGGTGTTCACCATTGGAATGAGGCAGAAGCTATCATCACTGTGCTAAACTATCTGGTTTAGCAGTTAGTTTCCACCTTGCATCAGACAGCTGGAAAGATCCTTGAGAAAGCTATGACCAAATCAGCTCTCGACCAAGCTAGCAAAACTTCCGACACTGCAAAAGTAGGTTGACTGATGCAAAGCCATCATTTCTGAATTTAGAGCATCCACCTCATGGGCCAGCATGGCTTACTAGGTCAGATGCAGCTGCTGTCAGGACTAGAAGAGACATCTCTCTTCAGGTCACTACTGATACAGACCTCCACAGTCCTTTCCAGTCATGCCAACACACATTGCTGCTGCACAAAATCTGCTGCCCGGCCCTTCCAAGGCTGCTAGCCCAGTGCAGAAAGTCTGCTCAGAAAACTGGTTCTTGTTTTTCCTGTATCCGGAGTGGTTAGATGATGGAATTTGGTTTAGGCCTATCTATTTGCATCCAGCTCTGGAGCCCTCAACACAAGAAAGACATGGACCTCTTGGAGCCAGTCCAGAGGAGGGTCATGAAAATGGTCAAAGGGATGGAACATTTCTCCTCTGAGGAAAGTCTGAGAGAGTTGGGGCTGTACAGCCTGGAGAAGAGAAAGCTCCAGGGAGACCTTATTACAGCCTTTCAGAACTTAAAAAGAAGCTATAGAAAAGATGGAAGCAATGTTTTTAGTAGGGCCCATTGTGACAGGATAAGGGGTGGTGGTTTTAAACTGGAACAAGGTAGATTTGGATTAGACATTAGGAAGAAGTTCTTTACTATGAGAGTGGTGAAACACTGGAACAGGTTGCCCAGAGAGATGGTGGAGGCCCTATCCCTGGAAACATTCAAGGCCAGGCTTGATGGGACTGTGAGCAACCTGATCTAGTTCAAGGTGTCCCGGCTCACTGCAAGGGGGTTGGGCTAGATGACCTTTAAAAACACAATCCTATCCAACCCATCCTATGATTCTATGGTTCTATTTTTCATATTGAATTTACCAGCATAATTGTCTAGACAATGAGTCATCTCAAACTCAGGAAAACATGGGAAAGACCAGTAAAATGTTAGCTGTGTTGTATTTTTTTTTCCTGAAAATAATATTCCTTTCCAGAATGACACAGGTGGTCAGCGTAGTCTCGTGAACAAGTGGACAACATTCTTGAAAGCAAGACTTGTGTGCTCAGTAATGGATGAAGATGGAACAGAAACATACTTTGATGAATTAGGTATGGCGAAAAGATCCCTTAAAAGTTTCATCTAAATCTTGCAGCCTGTGCATACTTAATTATTGATGTTTGTACGGCTCCTTAGTGAAATTCTTGACAGTGAAATCTTGGCACTGTAAAAATTCATTTCAAAATTGCCCTTGCAGTTTTATGACAGGAAATGAAAAAATCCTTCATAAATCTCTCTGGGTAATTATCATTATCTCTGAAATAAAGGTAGTTAACATTAACTATGTAGAGGAATTATATATGTAAAGAATTAATATTTGGAAGGGAACACGTAATTGAAGTCTATTGCTGTTTTACTCCTAGTTAGGATTATGGTAGAGGTTTTTTAACATAAATCCCTTTGAAACTGTTTCTTATACTGGTGTGTAACACACAGCTTTTCCTCAATAGAGTTTTTCTTTTTTGATCGCTGGGGAGAGACCTCAATTTAATAGTGCAAAATAATACTAATAAATCCTGTTACTGGCACCAGCAATAGCACTATGAATAAATGTAATTTCTCAGGATTAATTCAGGCACTTAGATTTTCAGTTCAACATGTGAAACACTGCAAATATTCAGTGAATAATCCATACAGCAGTCACAAGATGTTTCCTTTCATTAAGGAATTAATAGTTGCATTGTTGATACTTAAGGGCCAAATAACATTGTCAAAAAGTTTCAAATTCTATATTGTCCACAGCTGTAATGTACAAAGTCATCATTCTAAATTGAGGTATTAGAAGATTTGGTATCTATCTTAGTATAAATGAGTATAAAGATAAAGATAAAAAATGTAAAGATAGATAAATAAGATAAATAATCAATATAAAAATAATATGAATAATTTAAATAGCTAATGGGCCCCACACTGGGGCTGCATCTGATTCTGACCTTCTTTCCATTGTAATCTCTCTCTCTTCTCTCCATCATTGTTCCTAATTCTTATCATAGCAAGTGGGATCTGGAATCTTTTTGACTTTATACCTTTACACCTGTTTGGTGTACTTGCTTTGGTTCAAGGTTTTGATGGAACCTGATGGGCCTAGGAGCAGATCCTCACTTGCTGTAACTCAGAATGTGCAAGGTGCTTGGAGGAATGACTTTCAGAAGTTCTCAGTGCCTCTTAGCACTGCCACAGCAACTTACTTGTCAGAACTGTGATTTGCTGGGCCACTCCTCTTCAACAAATCAGTAGTATAACCACTTTTAGTTTTCTGAATAGGAAAATGTAGGACTGTTCAGAATAGGAGACAATGTTCTCAGCCTGATCTCCAAGCACAATCCTCTAGCAAAGAGGAAGGAAAAAAATCACAGCTGGAAATGCAGAAAACTGGGAGAGAGCAAGCATGTGCTTCTGTTTTCATGTATAATGCAGATAAGTGTAACACAGTTCAGCAAGGTGAAGTTTTTCACTTTTGACATATTTAAAAAAAATATTTTAAAACTTTGGATGGTTAAATGAAGGAGCCACAAAATTAATGGAAAGCTAAAGAATGTATTCTCTGATAAAAAACTCAGACAGTTCAGTCTTTTTGTGTGTTGTAAAATAAGTTTAAGAGGTAGCTTGATTATAGTTTCTAAAAATATTTATAAGCGGAAACTGCCAGGGATTAAAGTACTTTTCACTGAAGTATAAAAAAAATCAACACATCAAGGGTAATGGTGGGCAAATTCAATTCAGTGAGTAAGTACAGTTTTGCATAGTACAGTAAATAAATCCCTACACAGCGGGAGCTGGGAGGTTTACATCTCTCAGTGTCTTCCTTGCAAAGCTCTATGTCGTGCCTATCATGTTGAAAATGAGCTAGTGAGGGCATCTAGAGTGCGCACTGGACAATAAAACACCTAACTGTCCTGCTTTGGATTACGTCCCTTTATGGAAACTCTTTCTTTTTGACCTACTGCAACTTAAATGTTTGCCTGCTGTTAAACAACTTGCTGAAACAAGATCCGGCTAAGAGAAATGTGTGACATGGATCCGGAATATATTTGAAAATCTTTGCCTTCTGTCTTCATAAGGCTAGAAGGCATGGAGCTAATTTCCAAATCTGTTTCTGAATGTGCAAATGCTAGATTTATGCATATGGTTCATTCATACAGTAAGTCTGCTTTTTCCCATTCAAGACTGAGACAAAGCTACTATTGACTTCAGCGGGAATAAAAATAAAGTAATAGATTAAACTGCAAAATAAAGCTTTTCATACTATTCAAAATGTTGCGGGGGTTCCCTTTTCTTTTTTACAGAGGATGTGTTTCTTTTGGAGACGGATAACCCCAGAACAACGCTTGTGTATGGCATTTTTACAACATCAAGGTAAATGGGGAGGTTTGAAAAAAATTACTTTTCTGAACTGCCCAGTTTTCTATATGAAAAATGGATGCTCAGGTTTGTGGTCAAGGCTGTTCTGTGCAATTTTGTATGTATGCTGTGCCCATCGTTTGCATGCAAGAGTAGCAGTCTCAGTGTCATCCCTGTTGGTATCCATGTTAAAAGATATACTGCCTTGAGCAAACTGCTCCCTAATGTATTGTCAGCTGGCACAGGGAAAACATTTCCATGGAGATCACTTGTTGCCATTCCGCAGCGGAAAGCTAAATGACTTCAGTGCAGTGAACTCATGTGGCATCTGAGAGCACTTAGCACCTCCTGAAGGACATCCAGCACCCTGAAGCATGAAACTGGGAATTCGTACATGAATTCATATAAATCATTTCCAGTCTCTCAGCCAGCAGATGATGGCACAGATGGCAAATAACCCATGTCAGCTTCAGTTGGCTACGAGAAGACTAGCTTATATGGCATATCTTTGCAGCCTTAAGCTCGCCATTATCAGTCAGTAGCTTTCACTTATGGTCCTGTTTAGAAGCTTTCAGACAACTCCCAAGGGCAGTGGAAGTACTCAAAGTAGCTTACTATGCTGAAACACTCAACAAAGATAGAATGAGAGGTGGACCGATGGATTCCACCGTCTCTACCTTTGGTTTTTTTCACATTTCTCTTGCCCTCACCACATAGTGGTAGTATACTGAATAAAAATAGCTACCGCTTACTGATTTCTGATACAGTATCCTATATTGTTTAGCTGTTATAACTTACCTTCTGCTTTTTTTTTAAAGAAATCTGCTTTTTAAAGAACTCCCTATAATTCTTTTGATAAAATTAGCAGATTGTTTAAATTATTACTAATAATTCTTTTCATGGTAATTTCCAGTCAAAAAATTCCTTGCATGCAAAAATATCTCCCAGTACACTTTACTGTCTTACTTCGTGTGGATCCAGGGATTTACTTTCTCAAATATGTGAATCAGCCAGGAAAATATGATTTTGTGATATTTAATTGGGAAAAAAAGAATCTCATAACTTGTAAACACATCTGGTGCTGTCTACATTTTATTATGCCTACTGCACAAAAAGAGAAAATGCTGTGGTTATGTTTAGCAGTAAAACCACACTTATGATGAGGCTGTGGATGTAACATGCCTGAAGTGGAAACACTTTTACCTAATTCTCCTGGTATTCCTGCAGTGGAAATAAGGTTTGAATCACAGGCCCATATAAGGTGACTACAAAGAGAAAACTGCTTTATCCTGGCTCTTAAGCTATTTTCTCTCTCTACTGAAGTTTTTACACTCATGCATTTCTGTTACCATAAACCACACGGTCTACACTTTCTTTCTCTGTGTTCAGTGATGATTGAATGTGTTACCTAGTTGAATACAGCAATCATAAGGATTTTCACTTTTTGACAATTCTTTATCTTCATCTCTGTAGACCTTCAACTCAATACAACAGCAAGAGAGAAACACAGAATCATAGAATGG